AAGGCTTCCATGGTCTTTCTTTCACGTTCTTCCTCGCTCTCAGCCGAGCTGATTGTAAACTATAGGCTGATACCGGTGATAGCCAGAAAGTCCTGGTAAAGTCTGGGTAGAAATCCTCTCTTGATGTTTCATTTTGTACAGTAGTTTTTAACGAATTCTTGTTAATGTTTTTGTATTTATGTGATAAAGATAACGACTAAAAATATCATTAGATATTCTCCGAAACATCAAGTAAAAGTAGTGTTAAAATGTCGATTAAAAATCGCATTCCTATTGTGGCGCCACAATCAACCTCAGTATGTATGACGCCATACATATGTATCTAATATGACTACAGCTACTGTTTTTCTTTTTAATGCTGGTTACAATTTTTTTATTATTTTTAGATAAAAGATAATGAGGTGTACTCGTTAAGTCAATTTAAGCTCGGTAAGAAAGCCCAGGTATGCCAAAATGCCAATTCTAAGCATTGACCTAACAGCATTTCTTGTTTGTTGTTTGTTGCTAAGATGCCCAACATCATTGTTATTAAAAAAAATGAATTAAATAAAAAAAATAACATTTAGATGCTTTATTTATTTTATATTTTTGTTCAAGAGCAACATAGGCCATTGCTTCTTTTTTTTAAAGTCGTATGCTTTTTTAACGAACGCAATTAATATAATACAAATTCATATTCAAAGCCAAATGATCGGTATCTTGCTGATATTTTATACTTAAAGCCTTGGTAGGGAGAAGAATCCCAAAATCAACCAAGCAGGTATTGACTTTCTTACAAATAACAGGGAGACACAGCGCTCCATAGATATAAATATTTCAAAAATTCAATTATTAATTTCGTTTGGAACAAAACTGCAACATATCACCTCGAACATTTATAATCAGATGTTTGCTGTGATAAGGCAAAATATATGTCATTTAATGAAATGGACTAAAATTCAAAGACAGCATTTCTATCAAGCTAATGCAAAAATATATTCACAATCAAATAATTGATATTTTTTCAACTTTGTCAGTTTGGCACTACACTTTGACTATTTGTTTGGGGCCAAAGTAAAGCTATTAATGTTGTCAGGTAACAGATATAAAAGTTAAGACATTAATCAATATCTTCAGAAGTAGCTCAAGAATTACATTCCTTGCCACTTGGGCTACATTCTTTGCCAAAACTGACTTGTTCGCTCATATCTGATGTACACAACGTTGATAAAATTGTAGGTGCAACTACACTAGGTCTTATCGGTCTACGTCATTGTGGCTTGTCAGAATTATTTTTTAAATTTAGATTTCTTCCACTTTTTTTCTTGTGTCCCTTAAGTTTACTCTGTCCCTTTTAATGACTTGTCAAGCTTATATTTCCGAGATCATAACCCTTTGGCGACTGCTATAACGTGTTTACACAGTCAACAAAGGCTGGTGTCTTGTCGTTACTTGTCAAGCTCTTTTTTCGTTCCGAAACTGTTACGCATTTTGGCCTGCTTCCACTTTTTAAAGTAAACATTTCGCAGTTACCAACTACTAGCATGAGTGGGAGACTTTTTTGTGTTAAAATCAAAGTAAAAATATTTATATGTATGAAACACATAACTACAGGAAAGTTCTTGATTTTTAATCAACGGTTTTTATCTGGGTTCTATAGGCAACAAAGTTCATAAAGAAAATGATAATATGGCTTTAAACAAACTTTTCGGAACTCTATTGACTGCGAGTTATTTAGTGACACGTGTGTCCTCCGTTATAAACAGCTGTCTTCTAAATGTTAATCTCACAATTATTGAGTATATTATATAACAAATATGTAAACATGAAATAAACTTACTTCACATTTCTATGTGTTGGAGTTCTGTTTTTTTTCTGCCTGTATCTGATGGCTACTGCCCACTGCTTTCAAACTGTCCTCACTCTTATACATGTTATACATGACAGTTGTATTTTTGTAGTTGTCGTGACAGGTAATCAAACATATCTTTATTATGAAATGAAAACTAATATTGAAATAATGTGATTAATGTGTTGCTTCGCTTGCAGTAGTTCTTCCGTCAAAACAATAACCTCATTTCTCGTTCTGTGTTACAAGATACACACATCGTTCGTCAAAATAGTAGATTTGACCTACCTACGTACGAGGTACACAATAATTAATATGATTTAGGATAATCAATTTCTGATGATTGTCGATATCCAGTCAGAATTGTTCTTACAATGATTTTTTCTTAGATTCCATTTTAGATCCGACAAAATTCTTCTATCAACTCACTTGTCAGGCTTTGAGGTATATGAGTTCAGCTTGTTGCAATTCGCGAGGAGTCTGCAGTTCCCATTTTCTGCCTCGTGCTTTAGACTACGGTTGTTTAGGAGGTGTATAGCAAGAGAATACCGAAATATCAACAAGACCATATTTCGAACTCACAATCTTGTGAGTAGGTCAGCTTGATTGCTGTCTGTCGTACATAAGTTCTAGCCTTTCAAAATATATAGGACAACTCCGTCTTTTTGTGTACAAGCGGAAACGAACTATTACTAAATGCTGAATGTTTCTTCCACGCTGTATGTTATGTTCCTCCACGTATGAAAGCCTTCACAATTTACGGTTTCCTCTGAATCATACTTTTCTTCCAAGGTTTTTACACAAATATGTTGGCCCAGTTCACTTTCTAATTCTGAGCAAATAGTGACAACTCTAATGTTAGGAAATTAATCGGTCATAACTGCAAATCACAGCACCAATCTCATCGAGTTATAGTGCAACTTGCTTGTGTTTTCCCCAATATATCTGATAGCCATATTCTAATGAAGCGCGTAGTATAACCATACAATTATGACTCGCCACGCTTCCATTGTGAAATGCATAGGTATAACTGAATACATCGGGATCGAATGTTTAGGACACAATGTCGCACAACGATAACCTGGAGAGACAAGAGAAGAATACTTAAACGCCATTTCGAAAGGCTGCTTGCATTGATATTCTCTTTCCACATGCATATTTACCGACAGTGTCATATCGTTATTACTTCTCCTGGTACGTAACAAACAATGGACTCACTAGCCGACACCAATATAAAAGTGATAGTATCCCTTATTTGTAATATATAGCAGCCCAGGAATATGTCGCTTTGAAGCTAACACAAGGAATGAGAGACGGTGATGTTCGTCATGTGGTTACCAAGGCTGGCCCTCCAGTCATCAGATGTATGATCATCGGCTCCCTTTGAAGGTATTCTACTTTCGATTGAACAGCTGTGCGCCCCTTTCCTCTGATAATTTTGTTCTGGACTATATATATCCCAGTAATGATCCGCACTGATGACTATTGAGGTATGAAAAAAAAAGTAATAGAATGAGCAAGTTGCAATATTGGGCTTATCTTGTCGCTCAGTAAGAAGGTCTTGCTCCTAATATCACGAATTATTTTTTTAATGTCGACTGCTTATATAAAATTACAAATGGTTTCCAGATATACATATCGATGAAGACAATTGACAAGTATACTTGTCGCTATCACGATCTCGTTATAAAACAATACTGTATTTCTTTGTTCGTTGTCACTGCCGTAGTGATCGTTGTGAGGACGTTACCTATATTTGACATGGATTGATATGACAGGTGTCGTCTATGAAAGGAAGGTTCTCACTCTGCCGAACACAATAACAAAAATACTTTTAACTTATCTAGTTAGCAACAAATCATATCAGAGGTTTCTACGCGAAATGATAGATATGATACAATGAAATAAATGCCATTGCATTTTAAAAATGTATCGGCAGTCATGAAAAACAGTAGTTAAGATCTACGTGGTGAGTCCTGACAGTTCAAGACATGAAAAAGTTTGTCAAACTTGTAAAATGATTCAATTGTTTATCGTAGAAGCGCCAGATATGTAACCGATTTTATTCAAAGACATTTTGCTTAAACAGAATATGAATCTGCATGCAGTTTGGATAATTTGAAGAAACATTTAACAAAGATTTGCAGAAATGTCTTTTTCTTCTTATGATATGAAGGTCGTATTTTTATCTAGTGTAGAGGCAGAAGACGCTTACCCTTCTGGGTCACCTGGTTTTATACTGATCATAATTGTGTAAGTGTTTCCATGTTAGTCAGCAGTCATAGGTTTATCGACATTAGTTCGAATAGCTACTTTGTGGACACCTAAGTATTCTCTTCTGTTTTTTTTTTAATTTTCAGTAGAGCGTCCCTATTGAACATGTTGAAAATAGAAATGAAAGCAGCTGAAGTTGAATAGTAGATAATTTCCTCAATTTTTAACTTTATTTATAAACGAGGGGTCACCATTATTTTGTTATTTGAAGAAAGCACCTTGTCGATATAGCTGAACACTTCGCAGTGTTTTTATTACCAGTCTTCAAAAGTCCTTCCTTTTAACGTCAGCTTTAAATGAAAACAAAAACAAGACAGCTAGAAGAGGGGCACAATTTATTACCATAGGTTCGTATCATATCTCCCAACAACTCCCCTGTATGTCATGCAAACGCTTTGTATGTTTCAAATGGAGAACTAGAGTTGATAGAGTAACCGTCGAATCATCGTACTTATAATAGTTGTCTCCCTTTATACATATATATAGCTCTCCCGTATAAGTAATTCAGAATTTTCTCATAACGTTACACATATACATATATGTCCATATTTTATAACTAACAGGCAACCGACCGTATTCACCTGGGTTCTTGTTCCACACATCCATGCCTATTTTCATCACATACTGATATGTTATTATTTACCTGTACAATGCTTACAGGTATTGTGTAATTGACCTTGTGACGTCATGTTACCTCACCTCCGTTGGAATCTATGAATAACTACAGATCAGCGTCTTTATTGTTTGATTTCTTCGATAAGTCAGATCAATATATAAAGTATAAATGTGAAATTGTTAAATAGGAATCGAATCAATCCGTTTGAAAATAAATCGATACTGTTTGTAAAATATAAAAACGAAAGTGAAAGTTACTTAGTGACTAGGATCTACACTGAAACGCAAACACGTCAGAAGTACCGTCAGGGTAACCACAGCTGTAGGGTGGATGTGTGCGTGTTTAGCGGTTAGTACAAATGTAGCAAAGATCAAGAGGAGGGCATCTGGATACTTTAAACTATATTAAGGTAATGTTACAATGGCTTTTGTAAATATGCTTCTGGAATACAGAAAATTTTACGATTACAAGCGTATCGATTCGCACACATGAACCTTTAGACTTGTGCACTATCCAGAACTCGAAATCACGAATTGTGTTACCGGATCACACAGATTAAACATCGGAGTATTCTTGACCATTTTAATATGGTCGATTTTATGTACTATTTGATGATCCGAATAAATAGAAATGATATTCATCCATAAACCTTTCTGGCTATATAGTGGAGATACTCATCAGAAGCATATTCATTTGGTTAGATAAAATGCCTTTATTAGACCATACTGTCCTTTAATGTTACTGTAGGGACGTATTTGTTTGTAAATAAATGCTAATTAAATGTACTTTTCCTCTTTATATGGCGATATGTAGGATTGTCGGAATGTGCACCGGTGTTTTGTATTTTTCCAACATTGTTCAAAATCACAACGATTACTATAAATAGGGAGATTCTGATAATTCTAATAATACGTACACGACATATTGCGTACGAGTAGATGGTCTAGATAATGATTTATAAATAACGGTGATGTGATTCGTTAACATGGTACACTGCACACACACAAAGCATTCTATATCAGACATGACGTGTCAAGTGTAGAAGTATAAGGTATAACGTGCCTTTTAAAAAACAATGGATTTATGATAGATGTAATTAAATAACGTAAAACCCTACAATAACCTTATTTTAGTGTATAGATTCTCCCAAGAATTAAAAGTAATAGCCGTGCAAAAATAATAACCATGCAACATTTTGTGGTTTAGATGCCAATTTCTACACGAATGAGTGGCGAATCTAGATACTTAGTTTTTAGGTCACCTGAGACAAAGTCTCAAGTGACCTACAAATGTATTGCGATCGCCTTTTGTCGTGCGTCCGTAAACAATTTACATTTTCGACTTCTTCTCCTAAACCCCTGAAGCAATTTCAATGAAATTTTGCAGAAACCTTCCATGGCCAAGGGTCAACCAAAGTGTGAATTATATGGTCCCCAGCCCCCAAGGGCCTGAGGGACGGGGCAAAATTTGTCAAATTGACTAAAATTTCAAAAATCTTCTTCTCAAAATCCAGATATGTTAGAATCAAATACTCTTCATAGATGGAAGAGTATTAAGGTGTTTTACCAAACTTGTGAATTTCATGAGCCTGTGGTTTCACATTTTCCCCTGGGGAGGGGGTAAACTTTACTATAATTTATATAGGGAAATCATATTTTCGACCAACATTTGTTTAATTTCCATTGGAAGTAATTTAATTTGGGTAAGCATTATCAGTATTGGATAGAAGTTTGATGGTATGCACATATCAGCCCTGACTGACTCCCAGGGGCTGATAGGTGGGGCATGGTTTATGTTGGCAAATGATATTTTGGATATTACATGTTGATAACTTGATTGGAAATATATCCCTGAGTTGACAGTTTGATACTTTGAAAATTTTGAGCCAGCCCCACCCCCAAGGGCTGTAGGGCGGGGCCCAAAGGAGTCAGTGTGCTAAAATTTCTTCATTTTCCTTGTTAAGAATAAGAGGTGCTAGTTTCAAATACTTTTCAGTCTTAAATCTGTATACTAGATATTGAATAAGGTGGTTTTATTGTTTTTTGTCACTTTCAATAATATTTCTGTTCATGTTTTAAAAACAAAAATCAAATCTCTGTATAAATATATCAGAAATCGGGTGACCGTTAAGGCCCATTGGCCTCTTATTTTTTCATTTTGCCGCTTGGCTGACATTCTTTATAACTAGTAATATGTAATATGGATTCGACACAACAATTAGTAAGTTACTGGACGGAGACGAAACATGATTTAAATAAAAAGTCGCTCAAACTGTTTTAGTGGACTTATACATGACCTATACCTATTTACTATTCGATGTCTTTTAGTTTAAAAATGAATACAGTTCAAGAAAGTAGCAATGAAGAAACCACAGATATAACACTGGCTAAGACCTCCCGGAACACCGTACTTGGGACCAATGATAGAAACCAGGATGATAGAAGCGAAGAAGATATGGATGTAGATATAGTTTATCGACGTCAGACAACAGTTTATATAGCATACGATGAGGGAAATACCCCAAACCAACTCTTAGACTGTGTAAGAAAAGGACTCAAAGAAAAAGGTATGTTGGTTTAAACTTTGTTTTATTCAAATTTGTTTGACAATACATCGAAACCCAAATGGTACACTTTATAGAACAGAAAAGGAAACAAAAACAAGTGCCGTGACAATTATATGTAAATTTGTTACCTGCTTAATAATCAACGTTTCAACACTAGCTACAGGAATGAAGTAATATGTACAACAGAACAATTACGGGAATAGGGAAGGGGGTAATGGATTGGTATACAGTGGAAACCAGGAATGAATAACATATCAATATACATATGCTCTTCATATGGTAATATCATATTGCTATATTGCAATGAGTATGTGGAACACGATTCTGCAAAACATAACTTTGTATTAGTAGATAATATTTTCAGAAATGCTGTAAATGGACACTCGATAAATGTTAGACATGTATATACCAATTACCACTAACTATTGACAAATTGAGTACGTCACCAAGCACCGCCATGATGTTTAAAAACGTTGCAGTTCACAAACTAGCCATCACACTTATCAAATATATGTCCATTAAACATGTCCCGCCTCGTCCCTGGCACGTCCAAGGTAACAAATCACTTCATCAATCTATCATAATCATGGCCAGTTAGTGACATAATATGGTATATATAAATACAATGGCAAAAACAATGAAAAAACATATAAATCCAAATACATTTTAAAACATACTAGTAAAACGAATGCAACACAACATACATATATATATATATTGTAAAAGGGCTATTTGTTTATTGAAATCTTTTAGTTTTAAGTATATAATTTTGGACGGCTAGAAAAATTGTAGTGTTTTCTTGATGGGTTAGAGAGTCATCACCAAAGGGTAAAAGATTAGTAGATAGTTGATACGGCAAACTCAGAATATGAAGCTGTCTAAGTGCTGTATATTTATTACACTTTAGCAAGTAATGTGTTGAGTTTTCATTAGCACCGCAGGAACAATTCGGGGAGGGTATGATGTTTTTCGTGAACTAGTGTTCATTTAGAGAGCTACATGACATACGCAGTCTTGCATGGTAGATTTGACCCAGACGTGAATTCTGAAAGTAGTATGAAGGTAGACATTCTTTACTATTAGATTTCAGAAAGGCTTTTAAATAAGAAATGGAAGAGTATGTTATGTGTTGTTTCATGTCTTTGGAAAGTTCATCGTTATACCTATTTTTGTTTGCATTTTATTCAAAAACACCAATTCCGGAACGCGTTTTGTAATTTTGATTAGGATACAATTTTCAATGATGAACTTGACCAAGGAAATGCAGGCACTTTTACGAAATCTAAAAATATATATCATTGAATCAATATAATAATAACATTAAAACATTTTTACAAGAAGTAATTATATTAGCAATGTACATATCAATAAGAGAGATAACATAATTAATTTCTCTTCATTTATGCGTCGATCTTTTCCAATCAGGTGTGTCAGTTCTTGATGACGTCACACCAGGTACGCAGATGGCTGGTGAAACAGCGAGGGCTATCAATGAAGGTACTACATGTCTGTTTCTTCTCACAAGAGATGCTGCACACTCTCCATTGTATAAGTTACAAGTTATACAAGCCATGGAGAAAGCACAGCGTGAAGGCAAGCGCGGAGGGATAATTCTTACCAACGATATTGGAGATTCAGATGTGAGTATTTTGTGTAGGTCGCATCACAATTCATTCTCATCCAATCACCAACGGTATGATTAGAAAAGTATAGTTGAATGCAAGACATAGCATATAAAACGCGTTGCAATTTTTATCGATCCTATACTAATCTATACAGATCGCACAATATTCCATAGTCATCGTGTTAGATCCCACAATACTCCATAATCATCGTGTTAGATCCCACCATACTACATAGTCATCGTATTAGATCCCACAATACTCCATAGTCATCGTGTTTGATCCCACAATACTCCATAGTCATCGTGTTAGATTCCACAATACTCCATAGTCATCGTGTTAGATCGCACAATACTCCATAGTCATCGTGTTAGATCCCACGATACTACATAGTCATCGTGTTAGATCCCACAATAGTTCATAGTCATCGTGTTAGATCCCACAATACTACCTAGTCATCGTTTTAGATCCCAAGTATAGTTGAATGCAAGACATAGCATATAAAACGCGTTGCAATTTTTATCGATCCTATACTAATCTATACAGATCGCACAATATTCCATGGTCATCGTGTTAGATCCCACAATACTCCATAATCATCGTGTTAGATCCCACCATACTACATAGTCATCGTATTAGATCCCACAATACTCCATAGTCATCGTGTACTCCTTAGTCATCGTGTTAGATCCAACAATACTCCATAGTCATCGTGTTAGATCCCACGATACTACATAGTCATCGTGTTAGATCCCACAGTACTCCATAGCCATCGTGTTAGATCCCACAATACTCCATAGTTATCGTGTTAGATCCCACAATACTCCATAGTCATCGTGTTAGATACCACAATACTCCATAGTCATCGTGTTAGATTCCACAATACTCCATAGTCATCGTGTTAGATCCCAAAATACTCCATAGTCATCGTGTTAGATCCCACCATACTCCATAGTCATCGTGTTAGATCCCACAGTACTCCATAGTCATCGTGTTAGATCCCACAATGCTCCATAGTCATCGTGTTAGATCCAACAATACTCCATAGTCATCGTGTTAGATCCCAAAATACTCCATAGTCATCGTGTTAAATCCCACAATACTCCATAGTCATCGTGTTAGATCCCAAAATACTCCATAGTCATCGTGTTAAATCCCACAATACTCCATAGTCATCGTGTTAGATACCACAATACTCCATAGTCATCGTGTTAGATTCCACAATACTCAATAGTCATCGTGTTAGATCCCACAATACTCCATAATCATCTTGTTAGATCCCACATTACTACATAGTCATCGTGTTAGATTCCACAATACTCAATAGTCATCGTGTTAGATCCCACAATACTCCCTAGTCATCGTTTTAGATCCCACAATACTCCATAGTCATCGTGTTCGATCCCACAATACTCCATAGTCATCGTGTTAAATCCCACAATACTCCATAGTCATCGTGTTTGATCCCACAATACTCCATAGTCATCGTGTTAAATCCCACAATACTCCATAGTCATCGTGTTAGAACATAGTCATCGTGTTAGATCCAACAATACTCCACAGTCATCGTGTAAGATCCCACAATACTACATAGTCATCGTGTTTGATCCCACAATACCCCATAGTCATCGTGTTAGATCCCACAATACTTCATAGTCATCGTGTTAGATCCCACAATACTACCTAGTCATCGTTTTAGATCCCACAATACTCCATAGTCATCGTGTTAAATCCCACAATACTCCATAGTCATCGTGTTAGATTCCACAATACTCCATAGTCATCGTGTCCGATCCCACAATACTCCATAATCATCGTGTTAGATCCCACCATACTACATAGTCATCGTATGAGATCCCACAATACTCCATAGTCATCGTGTTCGATCCCACAATACTCCATAGTCATCGTGTTAAATCACACAATACTACATAGTCATCGTGTTAGATCCCACAATACTCCGTAGTCATCGTGTTAGATTCCACAATACTCCGTAGTCATCGTGTCC